GAAATAGGAACAAGACATTTTCTGTACAATCCTGGCAGAAAGCAATCAAACGAATCACTGGGAACTCCACCAAACAGTAGTCAACTGATGGTACCTCAACCCCCACTCCGTCCCTCCAACATTTACCAAACACATTCTCCACAATGTTGGAGACTCTGTGGAGATGTTTGCTCTTAATTCCATATTTTAAGTGAAGGAAATAAGTATTTGATCCCCTGCTGATTTTGAATGTGTGCCCACTCACACAGCAATGATCAGTCTAAAAATCGAATGCTAAGTGTATTGTAACACAGAGACAGAATAGCAACAAAAAATTCAAAAGAAATGCAAGTCTAACAAATTATGCACTGATTTGAATGTTCATGAGGGAAATAAGTATTTGATCTCCTTTCCAAAACATGACTTAGTACTTGGTCAGACGTTTCCTGTAGTTGGCCACCAAGTTTGCACACATCTCAGGAGAGATTTTGGCCCACTCCTCTTGGCAGATCCTCTCCAAGTCATTAACGTTTGGTGGCTGACAATTGGCAACTCGAACTTTCAGCTCCCTCCACAGATTTTCAATCGGATTAAGGTCTGGCCACTCCAGGACCTTGCTTCTTCTTGAGCCAATCCTTTGTTGCCTTGGCAGTGTGTTTTGGGTCATTGTCATGCTGGAAAACCCATCCACGACCCATTTTCAATGCCCTGGCTGAGGGAAGAAGGTTCTCACCAAAGATTTGAAGGTACATTGCCTCATCCATCGTCCCTTTGATGCGGTGCAGTTGTCCTGTCCCCTTAGCAGAAAAACACCCCCACAGCAAAATGTTTCCACTACCATGTTTGACAGTTGGGATAGTGTTCTTGGGTTCATAGGCAGCATTCCTCCTCCTCCAAACACCGCGAGTTGAGTTGATGCCAAAGAGCTCGATTTTGGTCTCATCTGACCACAAAACTTTCAACCAGTCCTCCTATGCATCATTCAGGTGTTCAGTGGCAAACTTCAGACGGGCCTGGACATGTGCTTTCTTGAGCAGAGGGACCTTGTGGGCACTGCAGGATTTCAATCCTTGTCGGCGTAGTGTGTTACCAATTGTTTTCTTGGTGACTGTGGTCCCAGCTGCCTGGAGATCATTGACAAGATCCTCACGTGTAGTTCTGGGATGATTCCTCACTGTTCTCATGATCCTTGACACTCCACGAGGTGAGATCTTGCATGGTGCACCAGTCCTAGGGAGACTGACAGTTGTTTTGTGTTTCTTCCATTTCTGAATGATTGCACCAACTGTTGTCACCTTCTCACAAAGCTGCTTGGCGATAGTTTTGTAGCCCAGTCCAGCCTTGTGTAGGTCTACAATCTTGTCCCTGACATCCTTGAACAGCTCTTTGGTCTTTGCCATGGTGGAGAGTTTGGAATCTGATTGTTTGATTGCTCCTAAGAGACTGCTTCTAATCTCAGCTTGTTACCTGTATGAAAGACACCTGGTAGCCAGAAATCCTGCTGAATGATAGGGGATCAAATACTTATTTCCTTCATGAACATGAAAATCAGTGCATAATTTGTTAGACATGCATTTTCTTTTGAATTTTTTTGAACTTCCCCTTTCAGGTGGAACTCAACTTTAAGGAATTCATAGTTTAGAGGGAACATTTTATGTTCCTGGATGCCAAATAGAGCAGCGGAGTGGTGAAAAAAAAGATAAGTATGCGTTGCTGGATGTGGATGTTAAGTGTAATGTTACTTTTTCCGAGTTGTGAAAAGTCTTAGAAATTAATAAGATTCCTAATGAAATGAATGCCTCTTAGTTGACGTCCTGATCTGTGTAGAATTCTGAAAATGGTGGCATTCCACTTACATATGCGACTTTACATAAGTGACTGACATTTTTGGATAAATCAATTCTTGAATCAGACTGAAATGTAAAGGTTAAAACAATAAAAAAAAATAATATGTGCCGCAGTACTTATTTATATATGCACTTAAACTTACACATTTCTTTAAGTTCTCCTAAAAGCCTCTCAAATACCTGTTAAGCCTGCCTGTAAAGTCCACCTAATGGAGCGGTGACAATGCTGTACTCCTCCTGCATTCAGAGTTGCCACTCTCATGTAGGCTGTGCCTGCTTGCACTACATTGGGATGATAGGATGTTGCAGGGGTGTGGCCATCAGCGCTGTCACTGTATAATCACAGGCCTATAGCACCTGGGCACATGTAGTCCTGCCCACTGCTTTCTGGATTGACAACACTGCCTCTGTTGATGAAACCCTCCCACTATGAGCTGCAGAATCTGGAAGGTGAAGCATAAGAGAGGCAAACGAGGCAGGTTCATGGCTCAGTCATGAAAGGTAAGGTTTCATGTCAGGTTTTATGTTTGCTGTATGGACCTTGTGCATCACATAGTAACTGAATTTGTTTATTGCTATACAGAAGCTTCTAGTTAGTTATACTTCAAATTACAAAATTGCTATAAAAGCTCAGTAACTATTTGCAGCAAAAGTGAAGTTTCCTTTATGTGAATTCACCCTGATATTCCTATGGAGAAAACAATATATAGTGCAGAATTATGCCATGCTGTATCACGTGTTGTGCAAGCGGTAGCCAGTTTTCCACTTCAGTCTCACATGCTAAACCCTGATGACTTACACATATCACTCCTCCAAATGTTAACTTTAATTTCTCAGCACATTTCACAATTACAACAATATTTGACTTGTACATTAGCATGTGTAATTTCATGAGAGCAAACACTTAAAGTGACAATGCTATTCTTGCTATTTCATATATTAGTACATGTACATAGAGGCTAATAGTCTCCTTTCTCTATTGGCGGGGATTATTTTTTTTCTATTGACTAATCTAAAATAAAAAAAAATACTTTTAGCCATTCAAAAAAGGAGGGACAATATTACTGTATCCAGACAGACTTTAACTTAAAGTGGAACTTTAGTCAGAAAACTAGGTTGTGCTAGATCACTTCAGGCTGGTCGCTTCTGCAGGTATAGCCATGCAAAACATTCAAAATAAGTGCCTGTACTGTTTAAAATCCAGTAATACACTGTTTCACCTTGCTCTGCACATGCTCAGTTGCCCTTGATTTTTATGCACTGTACTGAATTTATAGAGGCCGATCTGCTGACAGCCTAAAGATTTAATGATGTTTAGGACTCTGAGCTTCAGCAAAATGGCAGCCCTCCCAGCAGTATAAATAGGAATGTTGAAAGCAATTTACAATGCACATTAATTTTGGTAGCATAATTATTACTTAACCACTTTTACCCCCTTCCTGTCCAGTCCAATTTTCAGCTTTCAGTGCTATCACATTTTGAATGACAATTGCGCAGTCATGCAACACTGTACCCATATGAATTTTTTAGCATTTTTTTGAGACAGATAAAGCTTTATTTTGGTGGTATTTAGTCACCACTGGGATTTTTATTTTTTTGCTATATAAATGAAAAAGTCCAAAAATATTGAAAAAAAAGTGTTTTTCTTATACAATTTTACAAATAAATAATATTTCATCATAAATCTTGGCCAAAATGTATTCAGTTATCTTTTTTAGTAAAAAAAATAACCCAAATTAGTTTATAACCAAAAATTATAATTTTTTAAAAACATTTTTTTACTTTTTTTTTTTATATATTATTATTTTATGGGTTTTTTTTAACATATTGTCACCCTAGCAGTACAGTGTCACCATGGTGACACTGTACTACTTGTGGGGGGTGATGAAGATTTTTTTTTTTTTACATCGATTTCTTTTATACCCATAAAGGCTGTAATAGCAATCATTTCTCCTCTCTGGCTGCATTGTTACAGCCATTGAGAAATACTGTGTGAGCTGTGATTGGTCACAGCTTGTCACATGGTACAAGGCTGTTGTGAATAGCCTTGTACCATGTGACCTCTGTGATCATTCACAGATTTCACACGTAGTAAGCAATGATGTCAGAAGTGACATCTTGCTTACTACTCTCCATGTAATCACTGATTGGCCAATCAGTAATCACACAATCGGGACATCGCACAGAGGTCCCGTACAATGATCGGTGTTCAACTGTGTCCGGAGGACACAGCAGGCACCGGATCGCGGTGCTGCGCGCTCCCAGGGAGTGCGCACAAGCAGGGAGCGGGGAGGCTGTTTATAAACGGCCACCCGCCCCTGCACTGCCACCGTCCGGCCGTTTATATACAACGGCTGGACGGGAGGTGGTTAATGTGGAAAGTATGTTTCTTGCTAAAGAACATTATTTTTTTATCAAGCTGTTATGGTTAAAGTTCCACTTTAAACAGTCAGATTTCCAGTTTGTGATTTAACTGTTGTCTAGGGTAATAAAACAGCTGCAAAATGAGAGAGAGAGAGCAATAAAGCCCTAACACCAGCCTCTATGAACAGGTACCAAAGAATGGGTTTCTTAAAGAAATGGCATTGTTTACCTAAAAAGAAACCTAGAGGCTACCATTGCTGAATTCTCCTTCTGAAAATCCTAGTTGCCTAGTTGTCATGCTGACTGAATGTCTTCAGTCCTTTCAAAGTCACTGACCTGGAATAAGCATGCAGATCCGGAGGTAAAAGTAATTTCCTTTGCAGTATGCAGTGGCATCACTATGGGGGTACGGGAAGTGAAGACCGCACCTGGGTGACATCTTTCAAAGTGGTGACACCGTCCAAACCTGCTAGCACAGGGGTTAAGCCCAGAGGAGGCAGTAACATCACATCCCTGCCGGTGGTTGATGCAGCACTTTGAGAAGATGATGCTGGCCAGAATAAAGGATAGTGGATCCACGGGGATGAGGGCAGTGGCAGCCGCTCCAGGCACCTTCCTTCCTGGGAACATCAGTGGAGGGCTGGGGCCACAGTCCACATTCCAACCTTAGGGAACAGCAAATTGCACTCAGTGCTGAAGGTGGCTCACAGAGTGCACTGAAGAGTGATCTTGGAGCAACCTGCATTTGTGTGAAGCAGGTCAGTGCCCAACAGCTTAGTGTGTCTCTGTTTAAATCTATACCAGCCAGGCTGAGTGCTCCTGCCCAGTGCACAGAAATACACAGAATATCTGAAGTCTCTGATCATCTCCTGTAGTATGTCCATAGTCTCTGACTGTCTCCTGTAGTATGTCTGCAGTACCTGACCATCTCCTGTAGTATGTCTGTAGCCTCTTACCATCTTTTGTACCATGCCTGTAGTCTCTGACCTTCTTCTGTCATATGTCTGCAGTCTTTGACCATGTCTTGTATCAAATCCTCAGTCTCTGGCCATCTCCTGTAGTATGTCCACAGTCTATGACCATCTCCTGTAATATGTCTGCAATCTCTGACCATCTTCTGCTGTATATCTGCAGTCTCGGACCGTCTCCTGTAGTATGTCTGCAGTCTCGGACTGTCTCCTGTAGTATGTCTGCAGTCTCTGACCAATTCCTGTAGTATGTCTGCAGTCTCTGACCGTTTCCTGTAGTATGTCTGCAGTCTCTGACCGTTTCCTGTAGTATGTCTGCAGTCTTTGACCGTCTCCTGTAGTATGTCTGCAGTCTCGGACCGTCTCCTGTAGTAGGTCCCGGGGGAGCCCAGGCCTAAAGCTGTGTAAGGGGCCCCAAAATTTCTGATGGCTGCCCTGACACCATCAAGTAGGAAGTGATATCTGACTGCGATGGTGTCACCCCCATCAGTGCCAGTGCATGGATCAGGACACCAGCACCAACAGCATCATTTACAAGAGCCAGTTTGTGGGTGCGCACCATGACCGTGTGCTGCTGACCCAAAACTAGCTGCCCAGTGCCCTGCAGGGCACTGTGGTAGGCAAGGCAAGAGGGAGCCCGAGGGGTGGAGGGGATGACACCATGATTTACTGCACCGGGTGACACCAACCCTAGTGACGCCACTGGCTGTATGCTTGTTCCAGGTCATTGGCTCAGAATGTGTTGAAGTCAGGAAATCAGCTTTACAGCTGTAGTGGTGGCAACCTCTGGGTTTCTCTCATGTGTGTCTTTTAACATATACAGTTCAAGAAAAAGTATGTGAACCCCTTGGGATTACGTGGAGTTTTTCATGAAATGGGCATAAAATGTGCTCTGAATGTCATCTAAGTCACAACAATAGAAAAACACAGTCTGCTGAACATAATACTACACAAACATTAGATGTTGCCATGGTTTAATTGCACATAACATGTAAACATTCACAGTGCAGGGAGGAAAAACTATGTGAACCTTTGGACTTAATAACTGGTTGACCCTCCTTTGGCAGCAATAACCTCAACCAAACGTTTCCTGTAGTTGCAGATCAGACCTGCACAACGATCTGGAGTAATTTTGGACCACTCCTCTTCACAAAACTGTTTCAGTGTAGCAATATTCTTGGGATGTCTGGTGTGAATCGCTCTCTTAAGGTCATGCCACAGCATTTCAATCGGGTTGAGGTGAGGACTCTGACTGGGCCACTCCAGAAGGCGTATTCTGTGCTGTTGCAGCCATTGTTTTGTTGAATTACTTGTATGCTTTGGGTCATTGTCCTGTTGCATCACCCATCCTCTGCGGAGCTTCAGTTGGCGGACAGATGGTCGTATGTTTTCCTGCAAAATGTCTTGATAAACTCTGGAATTCATTTTCCCATCAATGACAACAATCCGTCCAGGCCCTGAGGCAGCAAAGCAGCCCCAAACCATGATGCTCCCTCCGCCATGTTTTACAGTGGGGATAAGGTTTTGATGTTGGTGTGCTGTGCCTTTTTTTCTCCACACATAGTGTTGTGTGTTCTTCCCAAACAACTCAATCTTGGTTTCATCTGTTCACAGTATATTTTGCCAGTACTGCTGTGGAACATCCAGGTGCTCTTTTGCAAACTTCAAAGGTGCTGCAATATTCTTTTTGGACAGCAATGGCTTCCTCCGTGGTGTCCTCCCATGTACTACTCCATTCTTGTTTAATGTTTTCCTTATTGTAGATGTGTCAACAAAAATGTTAGCATGTGCCAGAGATTTCTGTAGGTCTTTAGCTGACACTCTGGGATTCTTCTTTACCTCATGCAGCATTCTGCGCTGTGCTCTTGCAGTCATTTTTACAGGACGACCATGCCTAGGGAGAGTAGCAACAGTGCTAAACTTTCTCCATTTGTAGACAGTCTGTTTTTACCGTGGACACATGAACATCAAGGCTTTTGGAGATACTTTTATAACCCTTTCCAGCTTCATGCAAGTCAACAATTCTTGATCGTAGGTTTTCTGAGAGCTCTTTTCTGCAAGGCATGGTTCACATCAGACAGTGCTTCTTGAAACCAGTAAACCCAAAACAGGTGTGTTTTTTAAGGGCAGGACAGCTGTCAGCAACACATCCAATATCATCACACTGATTGGAGTCAAGGTTGCTCACTCCTGGCTCCAATTAGCTCTGGGAGAAGTCATTAAGCTAGGGCCTCACATACTTTTTCCTCACTGCACTGTGAATGTTTACATGTTATGTGCAATTAAACCATGGCAACATCTAATGTTTGTGTAGTATTATGTTCAGCAGACTGTGTTCTTCTATTGTTGTGACTTAGATGACATTCAGAGCACATTTTATGCCCATTTCATGCAAAACTCCACATAATCCCAAGGGGTTCACATACTTTTTCTTGCAACTGTATGTCAAATAAATAATATCTGAAAAGCATATGAAGATCAACAAGTATGATTACTTTGCAGGGATCCAACTACATTTATCAACCCTGCTCTCAAAAGCAACCATGCTTGTTGCTTGACCACAATGTTTTCTTGTGCACTACATTTCCTTTTGTGGTCATCATTAAACCTTTTCTGTATGCCATCCCTTCACTCTGTGTACCACCTTCCTTTTATCTTCATACCAGACTACTCTCTGGCTGTAATATGCATATATTAATTTCTGTTCACCGTGTCCACTTCACCTGCTGTATATGTGGTTGACCTGGCCTACACCCCTTTCTGTCACAGGCTGCCACTACTACTCCATCTACATTCCCCTTTATTGTACCAATTGAACCATACTAACACTTCCCAACCCTTCCCCTATATCAATAACTCAACCTGTCCATCTTGTCCACCCTTTTCCTTGGTTTTCCTACTCTGCTGGGATACACTCTAGCTTCTGCTGTCATGTTTGCACCTGGATATTAATTAAAGGATCACATTTCTAACCACTTGCTGTTAGTTAGACATCTTCAATTTTACAAAGTTAAACAATCGTAAATTTCAAAAACAATTCTACATAATTTTAATTAAAAAAAAAAAAAAAATAGCATTCATTATATTTTTTTTCATGTCACTTGATTATTCTAAAACATTAATGAACAGTTGACTCTCATCACACTTTATAAATATATTTAGTAAGCTCAGCATGGTCTCTTCAAAAGTCAGGAGGGTTACAATAATTATTCATAATACTATATAATATTTATGCTAGGAGGAAAATAATCTGAAGAATTTTTTGCAAGTATGAAAAAGAAAAAAAAAACACACGGGAACATATAAACAGTAACAGGATAGTAATTAGAATAACAGTGAGCAACACTGACTTGTATTTGAAATTATGTGAGGCAAATCAAGAAGCGGAAAAAAAATATCCTGAGAAAAGATATCAGGTAAACATGGGCTCAGGCACCCTACAATACAATTGCAAATCAGCAAGTTATGAGCATAAAGAACGCATCTTCTCCACTGCCCACGCCCTAATTAAAACTGAATATGCTAACGAGTCAGCTACCTTCTATTGGTCTTAAAGGCTGAGAATGTAGGGGGTAAGAACAGGGCATAAAATATGCCAAAACTGATTGCTACCAGGAGCAGATGTTTCTTTTCTAGTTATGAAGGAATTCTAATGAATTGAGGAGCCTTATAATAAATAGATATTTTCCTTTGAAATTCCGAGATCCCGCCATTAGAAGTTCTTTTGATATATTTTTAAAAAAGCTCATTAGACAGAGGATATGGGTGTGTGCTCTACTAAATCACGGTGGCTATCTCTGCAGTACCTAGCACACAAGGTCATGTATTAAAAAGAGATGGGCATAAGAGGCACCTTTTCCAGGCACTGCTGGAAAAAAAAGAAGATACCGGGATTTCTTTGCTCCAGATGTTAACACCTGAGTAACAAATGGTGGGATGACCGTGGCTTTTCTATCTTCAGAAAAAGAAAACAAGTCTAAGGAAAAAGAAAACTGCACAAGGGCATATTGACATGTAGCGTATGCTACTTTTTGATGCATTGCATTTATTTGTACCACTATAAAAAAAAAACATAAAGCAAGTGTGGACACGTTCTTAAACTGTATTTCTAGTAATTAGCCAAATTTACCATCAAATCCCCCTCTTGTAGAACATTTTCTGCAGCATTACTTTTTCTTTTGTCTTGTTCCTGTAGTGAGAAACACCTTTTATTATTCCTTGTAACTTCATCAACAGGCTTGTAAAAGTCTTGCAGTGGCAGTCACTGGGAGCTCAGTTCCTATTGACGTAGGTACGTCCCCAGGGCTGCATCTCTCCAAAGACCCTTTCCTACACACAGTGTGTGGACAGGTTTTTGGGATTCAAGGCATCAGCAACTATTTAGTTGAGAAAGACATCAATGGGGTTGGATCTATAAAAAGGCAATAGGCTGTTCACTTGTACCTTGCAAAGGAATTTGTCCCAGAACTTAGTAAATGTAGAGAAGTTTTGCTTTGCAAAAGAATATCCAATCGTGCAAGGGGAAAAAAAAATGAGAATTTGCACATGATAGGATGATTGAAGTCAGCAGAACTTCACCTCAGTCACTATGTTCTGGATCAGCTTCCCTTGCAAACTGAATAGTCTATTGCCCTTTAGTAAATCAATTGCTTTGTAAACATGTAGAGATGAACAGAAAGGGATGGGAGGAAAGCGAAGTTCTGGATGGTTGCAGGTTTGCAACACTGGTTGGGATCAATGAGAAAGAAAGTTACCGTGTTGTCTGCACAATTAGGAGCACACAGGTATTTTTCTATACTTACAACATTGTTAACGATATAAACCATTAGGAATTGTGCACATATTGTAAAGATGTAACTGCGTGGGTTTTTTGTGCCTTGACATACACTAACACTGATTACATGCAAGAACCCCAGCAGCAGGTGGCAGCCCCGCTGAAAGCAATGGGAGGCTGCTGGCTCCCAGAGCTAATCTTGGACGCTCATATGTAATCCCTCCATGCAGGAATCACCTACAAGTGATCTCCCTGAACATAGACTGTCTTGCATGTAATTGGTGTCTGGCCCATTCACAGCCGCAAATGTAGCCTAAAGTAAGCCTATAATGATAGAAATCCTGGCTATCAATGTTGACCTTCTTTTATACATGCTAGTGGATTGGCTGTTATCTTGATCCTCTGTCATCAATACTGTCAGTGCCAATGATGTAGAACAAGCATGCTGAAGAAGAATCAGAGAAAAAGCATAGGTGATAGAATAGGGAAGAGGTCAGTAATGGCGACCTTGTTTTCCCAGCAAGAATCTCAGGTCAGTGTGCATCATTCTACTACA